TTTCATTAGATCTTTTAAAGTGCGATCAATAGCTTCAAATACAAACCTATTCATCATTGGAGCTTCATCCTATATAACAAATGCGCCTTAACTATTTGAGATTTAATCAAGATAAAATATGGTTAGAATTATATAGTGAACTACAAGATGCAATGCTTACAAGAGATGGTTTGACTACAACTACAAATATAGAATACCGTATAATTTTATCTTCGAGCTTTGCTGAAGGACCTCGCCATATGCACCAGCTTTATCAAGATGCAATAGCTATTGTGAGAGCATATGGAAAACCTAATCTTTTTATTACTATGACTTGTAATCCACAATAGCTTAAAATTACTAACTCTCTTCTTCCAAATCAAACTGCTCAAGACAGGCCTAATCTCATTTCCTGTGTTTTTAATTTAAAGTTACAGGTCATGCTTAAAGAAATTTTAAAGAAATCTATTTTTGGAAAGGTGTTAGCCTATCTTTACACTATAGAATTCCAAAAACGTGGATTACCTTATGCCCATATCATCTTAATTCTCGCTTAAAACCATAAACCAAAAACAATAGAAGATTACGATTCTATTGTCTCTGCTGAAATTCCTAATAAAGATAGTGATCTTTTTACTTATAATACTATCATACGATCAATGATGTATAGTCCCTGTGGTACCTTTATGCAAAACGCTTCTTGCATGAAAGATAGCAGTTGCTCAAAAGGATACTCAAAAAATTTTTAAGAAAGTACTGCTGTAAATAATGATAGTTATCCTATTTATAAACAAAGAGAAAATGGCCAAACTGTTGAAGTTTGTGAAGCAATATTGGATAATAGGTGGGTTGTTCCATATAATCCATATCTTTCTACTAAATATCATTGTCATATCAATGTAGAAATTTGTTCTTCTGTTACTGCTATAAAATATCTTTTTAAGTACGTCTATAAAGGATACGATCGGGCTACTATAAAGATTACAACACAAAGTAATCAACAAGTTTTGTCAAATGATAATGATGAAATAAGTCAATATCTTGATGCCCGCTATGTTTCAGTATCAGAAGCTTCATAGAAATTATTCTATTACCGTTTATATGATAGAAATCTCGCTGTTATGCCCCTTTAAGTATACCTCCCAGGACAACACTGTGTCATTTTTCACAATAGTCAACTTCTACAAAATATAATTGATCATTCTAATTCTGAACGAACTACACTTATAGCTTGGTTCGAAGCTAATGAATCATATCTAAAAGCAAGAGAACTAACATACGAAGATTTTCTGACTCATTGGGTTTTTGACAAAAAAGTGAATAAATAGAAATCAAGACAACGTGCAAATATTATTGGGCATATATACTTTGTATTTCCTATAGCTAGTGAACGCTACTACTTAAGACTTCTACTTAACATAGTTCGTGGTACTACTTCATTCCAAAATCTTTGTATTGTAAATAAAATTCAATATGATACATTCAAAGATGCTTGCACTGCATTAGGTTTACTACAAAATGATGACGAATAGAATTTCTGTTTATCAGAAGCATCTCAAATCCAATCTGGTGCTCAATTACGTACTTAGTTTGCTACAATTCTTCTGTTCTGCAATCCTGTATATCCTGAAAGACTTTGGGAGAAGTATTTTTCAACTCTTACTGATGATTTTTATTTTCAGATTCTTAATAATACTAATGCTACACTTACAGATACTAATATTTCCAATCAAGCTTTATTGTATTTACAGTCTATTTTAAATAAACATGAAAAATCTCTTTCTGATTTTTCTAATATGCCTTTACCAACTATCTCTCCAACTTCCAACATTCTTAATCATCTAATTGCAAAAGAACTTAATTATAATATTGAAGAACTTACACAAATAATAGAACATGGAGTTCCTTGCTTAAATACTGATCAGTAATTCATTTTTGAAAAAGTTATAACTGCTATCGAACATCGAAATTCAGCTTTATTTTTTGTCGATAGCCCAGGCAGAACAGGCAAAACTTTTTTGTATAAATAACTATTAGCATATTCTCTTAGCATATTCTCTATAATATTTATTATTTTATTTATTTTTTTAACTTTTTTTTTTAAATAGCATTTTACTTGCGAAAATTCATTTAAATAGAGATATTGCTCTTGCAGTCGCTTCATCAGGCATTGCTGCTCTTTTGTTACCAGGTGATCGAACAGCTCATTCACAATTTAAAATCCTTATTAATGTGAATGAAGATTCTACCTGTTCAATTTCTCATGGCTCTGATCTAGCTTTACTAATTCAAAGGACACATCTTATTATATAGGATGAAGCTCCAATGATGAATAGGTTTGTATTTGAAGCTATTGATCGCACTTTAAAAGATCTAATGAAA